TGTGTGCGTGCATGTTCCTGCCAGCTCCTGTTTAGCTGAATGGCAGGTAGCTTATGATTGCCTTCTTTTGTCTTTCTGTTAGCTCCTGGTGCTTGCTCTGTAGAGATGTGTAGAGATGGTCTCCATGGCATTTTGCAGGGCTATTCTATTGTACTGTGTACATGTGCTGTGGGTTTTAAACCAGTCCCATGGTAGTGGGTGTTTGCTTGTCCTTCCTGTATCATGCTTCCATGAATTTTGGAAGCGTCTCAGGACCATGCAGCCTGACTTGGTCTCGGGCTCAGTGGATCAGGAGTCTGTCTGTAGTTGGGCTATGTGGGGTTCTATACAACTCTTTCTGAGCTTTGAGGATGCTATGCTTTGTGACTAGTGCCCCTGTGGTGCAGTTGAGAAGTCTGAGTTTGTTGATTTTCACCCCTTGGGAATGCAGCACCCATCCACCTGCCATGCAGGAAAGTTTCCCCATGTTTGGACTCTTAGAACTGTATGATGATAAAGGGCTTTATAATAACAGATAATAACTTTGGTGTGGACTTTTTAAAAAATTCCATTGTACCAGGGACTTCTTGAGCGGCCAGTTATCTGGAGACTCATGTGTCTTTCTGTCCTTAATGCTTGGCATCATTTCTGATTTTTCCCTCCCTCTGTTCTTCGCTATTCTCTGGGACTCCTTTTGGGCCAGATGTTGGACTTCCTGGAATGGTCTGCGGATATTCTTAATATCACATACCCTTCTATCTTCACTCTTGTTTTCTGTCATGTATTTTTAGAAATTCCTTTCCTGGCAATTTTTGTGATTTAATTTTATAACCCTTGGATTGAATTTTTTGTTTTCTTATTCTAAATTTCTATGAGTGCTTCTTTATTCTCTTCCTCATTCATAGCCATGTTGGTGCTATCTCATCTGTACCTCCATAGAGTATTGTGTATGGAAAGGGATTTTAAAACTTCATATTTTTTGGTTCCCTAAGAGAGAGGAAGGGAAAGGGAGGGAGAGGGTAGGGGAAGGAGGGAGAGAGAGAGTGAGAATTTTGGCTCATCTCTTCTGGAGCTCTTTCTTGTTAATAAGAAAAGGCTAGCACAGTTGCTGGAACCTGGGGACCCAGAGGTAGCTTGCAGAGGGCAGAGATGTACAAATTGAGACAGTGGATCTGGGGGGCTAGGGTAGATGCACCATAGCATGTTGAGTTTTTCTGTTAAGGGTAAGTGACACACAGAACACTTACAGTTCTGTTTGGACACTGGATTTTATCATCTGTGTGCAGCATGGAGTGATGTAAGCCACTCACTTGGCGTTGTCCTTGGGAAGTGGCCTGAAAGGGACTTGGAGGCAGGGGCGTGGATAAGAACATGGGGTAGGGGAAGAGAGCCCCTTTGGAGCCCATTGTCGAGAGGTGGGGCCTCTGGGTGCATCCCAGGGCTAGGGTTCCCTCTCTTTGCATCACACAGTGTGATTTACTAGGTTCATGAGAGGGTAGAGGCCATGGGTGAGTCCGTGAGACTGATGGAAGGAACCAAGGGAGTCTACAGTCAGTACTGTTTGCAGAGAAAGCCTGGTCTCCTGCTCAGATTGGGGCATGTGGCCTCTTACATAGGAAATCTGTTAAGAGAGAGCAACCTGGTCTCCTTTTTCCACAGTGGAAAGGAAGTTATTGTATTATTTTGGATCAGGAGGCTTCTTTTATAGCCACAAGTAAAAGAAAAATACATTTGATACCATTGTTCATTATTCCCTCCTGTGAAAAGTGGTGGTTCCTGCCACAGATACACAGGTTTCTAGCCTGGCACAGTGACACATGTGCTGACAAAGCCATGTCAGTAGCAAATGGCCTGTGAGTGCTGGCACATGATCAGTTTATGACAGGGCCAAACAGCAACACCCTGGTCTTCCTGCCCTGTCAAACGCTGCGTCTGCTGCACAGTTCACATTCTGAGCTCTTGTCCTCTTAGGGGCAAAGGCCATTCCATGGCAGCTGTGTTTTGTGGGAAATGTGCCCTGGGAAAGTAGTGTGATGTGAAGATAATAACAAAATTGGCCTCACTGTGTGTGAAATGTGAAATAATACAGTCTCCATAACCAGTAAATCTTGGAAGAAATGTTAGAAGTAACAGCCCCAGGAAGAAAGGCAAACTTTCCATGGTGCACAGGGCTGGATGTGAGGGGCGAGGGCTCTGAAGAAGTATCCGAGGAAGAACTGAAAACACAGCAAAGGAGCAGAAGGCAGGCCCTTCTTGTACACGTCTGCATCCTGACAGTGTGGCCCACTTCACATAAAGGTGAACTTGCATTGTGTGAGGCCATCAGATACGCATCCTCACAGAAAATCAGTCTTTTAGGGGTTGTTTATCCTCACGGAGAACATTCTGATGATTGCTAGCCTGTGTGGAGTGGCCTTATGTTTCTATTTTAATTCTTTAAAAGTATGCATTTAACTGTGAAACAAATACATCATTACTAAACTTTGGAAGGCAGAGAAATGAAAAAAATCATTTATATTTCTGTATCATTAAATTGCTGTCAACATTTTTGTGACTTCCCTCTGAGGATTTTTTTGCTTGTGTGTCTTGTTTACCCAGCTTGTTACTATGCATGTGTGTCATTTTGTCACCTGCATATCACATTTGTGCTTTTCTGTTGCTGTAATGACCACTCCCTCTTCCTTTGATTGTACAAATGCTCAGTTTACAAAGCTTTGCCCTAGATGAGTTAGTCAGGGTTAAAATCCCAGGGCTTGTGGGTTTTGCCTGCCAAGTTTACCAAACATGTCTTCCATGGAGTTTGTGCCTACCTTACCTGTTCACATGAGCCTTCACACTGGGAAGGGACGTGGTCTGTTTTGTGCTTTGTTTGTACACTTCTGTTTATGCTGAATGTACCTGACAAGAGGGGTAGATTCTCCTACTTGGAGGTCAGGGTGCACAGCGGAACAGTGGATCACTCACCTGTCAGGAAGGACAGCACTGTTAACATTCTGCAAAAAATGTAAGCCTCTCTTGCACTTGTTTCTGTGATGTGACTAGTCCTCCCAGACTGGTCACTTGCTGTGCAGTGATGTAACAATGAGGATTATAGCAGAAGCACCACAAGCAGCACTGGCACCATCGGTGGAGCACTGGAGTGGTCCAGGAGGCCACATGAAGGTATCTGTGACAGAGGACAGCAGTGTAGTCATGATGAAGTGGCTCACTGAGGAGCATCGTGTGTCCTGTGGAGTGTCAGGCAGGTCAGCAGGAAGTGTGTGTCTGTGTGATGTGTGTGGACACTGCCCTTCACACCACCTGCAGGGCCCAGGCTCCCTGTTTCCACTTCCTCAAAGCTGAGTGGAGCAGGTTCCAGGGAACATTGAGTCACTAACATCACGTACCCTGTTTCCTTGATAGTTTTCCTAATAAGATACCTGTTACAAAATTATTTTTAAAAACAGAATATTCTTTAGCTCATGTTCCTGTGTGTTTTGGTCCCTTCTTTCCTGTGTGTTGATGTGAGCAGTAGAAAGGGTCTTCCTGTGAGTCCTGATGCTCTGCTGCCTGGCCAGTGACACTGTCCGTGGGGGGACCAGCCTCACAGTCACCTGAGAAGGGGAAGAAATGTCTGCTTGTTACATGTGGCCTTAAGGCTATGAGTGTTGCTGTTCCCTTCCCTGCCTAGGACCTCGTCCCCTGGGCAGGGTTAATACATGAAACCCCTCAAACAAGAGGGTTCTCCTTTGAGTTTAAAGCATCTGTCCTTCGTTAGGATTCAGAGAGCACAGAGCTGTTTGAACTTTATGAATAACTGGTGTTCGTTGGCTTTGTATAACCCGACAGTTCTCTGGGGGCCTCGGAGAGAGAATGAGGAAGAGAATTCAAATTCAGTTACTTGGCATTTGGGGATGAAGAGAAAAGTGGAGCAAGGGAAGGATGCCTGTAGTTGTTGAAGGCAGGGTGGGCAGATACTGCTTCACCTGTGCCTTCCAGGTTGTGGCTCTGAGTGCCCAGTGCTCCGTCTTTCCTGGGGTGCTCCTTAGAGCAGTACTCAGTAGATGGCAGCCAGGGGCCAAATACAGCCACTACCAGTGTGTGTGTAACAGCACTTTACTGGAATACAATGTCTCAGTCTGCTTTGTGTTGCTCTAACAAAATACAGAGGCTAGGTACTTTCCAGAGGAAAGAGGTTTAATAAGCTCACATGTTTGGAGGTCCAAGGACGTGGGGTCAGGTTGGCCTCTGGGGAGGGCCTCTCACTGTGCTGGTACAAGGTGGAAGGCATCCTTTGGGGGACACACCAGAAATAGGGGAAATGGGGAGAGATGATGCTTCACATGGCAAGAGGAAGACAGTGCCTGGTCACAACCTACTCTTGAGATAGTTAATAAGACCTCACTTCCCTAAGAAAAACATTCACTCCTTTCAAGAACTGATCCCCATCTCTTCCGGGATCTGCCACCTAACTTCCACGGCATGAGCCTGTGAGGGCAAGCCGAAAGAAATTGTCCATTCACATGCACAGCTGTCCTCAGGCTGCCAGGCAGAGTAGGTAGCAGGCACACCATGGCCCACACCCCTGGAATACTTATCTCGTGCTTTACAGGAAAAGTTGCCAACACAGCTAGACAGGGATCATAGATACCATGAGTTTGTTTTCGGCTTTATCTCTGATCTTACTGTTCTGTAGGTTTAAGGCGGGAATTTTAAGGAAGGATCATACCTTACATCAAGATGAGTGTTTTATTATGAAAAAAAATTAACTTCAAAAATAGTGTAATGCATGGAGGCGTTGGTGTGTTTTAAACTTGAGTAGGCACCAGAAAGTTGATCTCTGATCACACATCCCTGATCCACCAGACTTTAGATGCTCCCATTTATTATAAGGTGGAAATAGTAGTTTCTCTGTTTTTTGTAAAGAGGAAGCATTCGTCACTGTAACTTATTTCAGTATAAATATGAATATAAATACAGAATGCTGATCTTACTCTTGGAAACTTGAGTGTTTTAGCTGGATTGTGTTTCTCTCCTCTCAGCTCAAGGTCCATGGCCAAAGATGACTCTAGCAGTGGAGGCTGTCTTCCGTAGAGAGGGGGACCGGATCGCAGGCTGGGATGAACATGCCACTGCACCAGGTCTCTGCCATTCCAAGCCAGGACACTGCTTCTGCTAGAGTCTACAGTAGCAAGACCAAAGAAAAGGAGAGGGAAGAACAGGTAATAGGAGACAAGCTTTGTTTTTTGGCGGGGGCACTGGGGAGACAAGCTTTCTAAATTGCACTATTTGTATTAAAAGTTCCTTAAATTATGTTCTAGGCTAATACCTAAACTCCAGAGATCAGGGTTTTTTTGTGATCTTGTACTAAAAAGCACATACATAGTGTGCTCGAAGAGATTGTGTTTTGGTTGGTTTTTAGATTTTTAAGTATAGGAGTAAACTCATTTTACTTGTGAATGGTTAATTTAAAGGCCTACATTATCCTCATTGATTAAGTCTTCCTGATGGTTTCTGGTACATCACTAAGACAAAGTTGTTCGAATTCTTAGAATGTGATGCAGAGTATAAATATAAGTAAAATAAAGGATCTGGGCATGGTGGTGCAGACCTGTAATCCCAGCACTCTGGGAGGCCGAAACAGAAGGATCCCAAGTTCAAATCCAGCCCAGGCAATTTAGTGACTTAACAAAATTTAAAAAAGAAAAAGGTTAGAGAGGCAGCTCAGTGTGAAGGTCCTGGGCTTTGCTTAGTACAAGGGCACCGTAGTGTCTGTCACACTACATGTCCATCTGCCCAACTGCTGGTGAGGGTTGCATATGCAGCTGTACCAGAGTGACGGAAGTGGATGCACTCATGGTGGCTGCATCCCAGCCTGTGGTGTTCAGAAAGACTCCTGGAGAGGATGGCATTGGTGTGGAGAGCTGAGCAGTGACCCAGAACTGGTTAGAGAGGGAGAAAGTGATGTCCTCGTTTGAGATACTCTGTGCCAAGTGCCCAGAGGTTGGAGCAAAGTGAGTCTGAAGAGATTTCGAATCAACTGGACATGAAATTTAGACCTGGTAGGGGCACGGTACGAGGTTTCACAAGTTAGCAGAAAGTTTCCTTAAGGAGTTTGGATATATTTATGCATAGAACAAAGGATCAGAGTTTTCTTCTTAAAACTTTCATGCAGCCTGCACTTTAGAAAGCAAGTTCATGGAGTGATAGACTAACTGGGGATTATTTAGTAACTTACTTAGCCTAGGTTTGTGAACTTTCTCTGTAAAGGACCGGAAAATAGATATAGGAATGTGTTGCTTCATGGTGAGACACACTGTGTGAAACATGCCCTCAGGCACCTTGTCATTGTGCAGGCGTGTTCCTCGCTGTGCAGGCGTCACTGAGCATGCTCATAGTCCGGCATGCCAAGACATCACTGGAGATGCGGCCTTGTACAACACCTCTCCACACAGGTCTCTCTGTGGGCTGTTACTATTTTAGATTCTGCAGCTTGGTCTCGCCTACTCCTCTCTGCCATCGCAGTGTGTGTGCACTCAAAGACAGCATGTAAACTTGTGGACGTGACTATTCCAGTACAGTGTTGTTTACAGGCAAGCAGAGGATGTATTTGGCACCCTGCCAGTCCCTGTAGATCCTTACTTAGCTGAGAGCAAAGGCAGTGGTGACTTTGTCTAGGACTGAGTGACAGAGACAAGAGGAACATGAGTTGATGCTTCCATTGGATGTGGGAGTGCCCATGGCCAAGGAATGGGAGCTAAGGACGGCTTCCAACTTTCTCCCCAGCCTTTACAGGGTGCTGTACGAATGTGTGCTTATCAGTTCCATAGCATTCCTATTTTATTTTACTTCTTTTGGGTTTTTTTGAGACAAGGTCTCACTGTGTAGTTCAGGCTGGCCTTGAACTTGCAGCCATCTTCCTGCCTCAGCCTCTTGAATACCCAGATTGCAGTCATGCACCACCATACCCAGCTTTCCTGTTTTACAGTTAAAATTACTCTTTGCCCAAACCTGCAAATAATCCTTATAATGTCAACAATTCATAAGTCTTAGTTGACTTGGAGTCCTTATGGTTAATGGGAAACCACTCTTTCCATTATTCCATCAAGAATTTTTAAAAAACAAATGTCATGGAGCTCTTGAACTACATGAACTACAGAAAATGCAAAGCTCCATGTAGATAATGAGAGGTTTCTGTGTTCTTACTTTATCTTTTTGTATACTCTTTCTGTTTTGACGAGATTTTGGGAGCCGTGCGACCAGCTTTGGTTGAGATGTCAGCCAAGGGTAGCAGTGGGGTAGATACCTGGTGGGTGTAATATTACTGTCAGTATTTTAGTATTTCTTCCACTTGCTGGGCATGGGAAAATACTTCAAGGTGTCTTTTTCATGTTCTGTCAGCGAAAAGTTTATTTAGATTAAGTCTTTTCCCAAAACCATTCATGGCCCAAGTAGATTTTTAAATATGACTAAATAAGTGCTTGCCTGCACCATGTTGAGCTCCCTCTTCAGTGTTGTGTTGAACGTGGACACCAGCTGGCTTGGATGTCCTGGTTGCCTGAGACTAGTTCACTCGTCTTCCTGCCATCCTTCCATGGTTTGAGGAAAGAGGATGCAGGCCGTCTCGTGTCTGTTCATCTAAGCGCACAAACCTAAGTACACAAGCCTGTCACTAGGGCTCTGTTCCCCGACGCATCATCTTCAGATAGCATGGCACTGGGGATTAGGGCTCCGACTGAGGAATTTGGGGGGTGGTATGGACATTTAGTCTGTAGCAGTCTGTATGTGGAATAGAGAAAGAAAGACATCCAGCATTTTAGGCCAAGAAAGGGGATTCTCCTTTACATACACTGTTCTGCAAATGTCACTGTACGTGGACATTCAGTAAATGGTTACGGAATTGCTTTCTTTGGCAGAGGTTTAAAGATTTGAATAAATAGCACTGGGGTTTAGGTTAGTATTGAGAAGAAAAACTATCTTGACCCACCTTAATGGAGACGAAACTTTTAAACACTTCGTGGCAGTTCTGACATCTTGGGAATTACAGCACCAAGGCACACTATCAGGACCTCTGAGAGCATCACAGCAGCTGCACAGAATTGAGCATGGTGGCTGTAAGTTTCCAGGGCCTGATATGCACCTGGTTGGGTTGGAAAGTGAATTTGTGTCCACAGGGGTGCATTTTGCTTTATGCAGCTCCCTTGGCACATGGTGAACCTGGCATGTTCAGGTACAGTCGTGATCCTCTTGTGCTCAGAGGAGTGCTGAGGCAGAGCGGCTCCACAGAGGTCCCTCCCTTTATCCTCACATCCATGCTCACTGACTGCAGAGATGGTTTTATCCCCACTGAGGGTGCATTGGTGCCTGCTTCTCTGTGGCACCCTCTGCCCCAGCCTATGTCAGCCCTCTGTGGAGAGTTCATGACTTCTGCAGAGTTAGAACTGCCCAGCAGGAGAGGAAGAGGGTTCTGTAGTCCATTAAAGGATGGCTGGGGCTATCAGTTAGGAATTCGTACTTGTTTTTAGGATCTTATAGATAATGAGCCATTGCTTTTCAGGCTTTGCCTTTGTCTAGGAACCTGCTATATATGTATTGTTTTAAAAGAAACGTATTTTTTTTGGCTTGGGGAATTTTTTTCTTGTAGTTTAAAATTACAGTCATACCTCAGTACTCAACTACTTTGAAGCTTGTTGAACATGGTACTTGATGAGGAAGCTAGAACTCGTTGGTATTGGTTGCCTGTGCCTGGTTATTTTTTCCAGGCAAAGCGATGTGTTTGTTACTCATTGGGGCTCCCAAAACCAATGAGTATCTTGCCTATAGGCCTAACTGAAAACATTCTCTGCATACTAAGCATAGGATTGTTAGTGTATATTTTTACTTTTTGTTGTTGTTGTTTTGGTTTTTTTTCTGGTACTGGGAATTGAACTCCCAGCCTCGCACTTCCCAGGTAGGCGCTGTGCTGCTGAGCTAAATCCCCAGCCTCCTAGTGTATATTTTTAAAAGTCTGAAAGACAGTTTTAGTTTTGGACATCAAGTCAGTGTTTGGAAGTACATATGTGATTGCACAGTCTAAGTTACATGCCGTCTTAGAATGGTGCCCATGCTATCCTCCTCTATTAACAGACCAGGATTCTAGGGTGTACTGTGGGCAGCAGCATCCCTTCCAGTTCATTTATGGAAAAGGCTTTGGTGCAGGGAAGCAGGTGCTGGCAGAGTAGTCGGCCTTACCTGGATTCCAGAACAGCGACTCTCAGTGCCCAGGTCCTCTCTGCTGAGATCAGGAGCTGACAGAGCAGAAAGTCGCTATTACCACTTTCAGTGAAGACACTCTGAAAGGACTGTTTCAGGAACCCTGAAAGATGGTTAGCTTATGCTGAAAGTAAGATGGGTATTTTCTTTCATATTTACAAGCATTTCCAGCCATGTTGGCCTTGCCGTCTTGCTTCTGGTGTTGGGGGAGAAGGGCGGATATTTTACCAGGGAGTTGGGGTGATGGTTGTCTGAGCATGTTTAGCTTTGCTCTGCAGATGTGTGCTTGTTGGCAGCCAGTGTGTTCTTATCTTTACCTGACACCCATGGGAAGAGGGCTTCACTGTGTTCAAGTGATGAAAGCATTGTGAAACAAGGTCACCACACTTTCACCTCTTGTTATTTTTTTCTACTAGGTAAATTATTCTCTTCTAAATAATAGAAATCCAATATAAGGAGGCTGAGTGCTAGATCCCAGCATCTCAGCGCCACCTAGCCTCCCCCAGTGTAGTGTTTGGACTTCCTTAGTGTCTCCTGCCTACTTGTTGGGGCCGGAGTACTGGGGTGCTGTATTTCCCTCCGTGTTGACTGTTACTTTGCTACCAGAGGTTTGAGATCCTGCATGAAAACAAACTGCCTGTATCTTTTATTAACATTACTACTTTTTGCCCCTAATAACTATAGTCTTATTCTGCAGGATAAAAATTCCTTGTTTCATGTGTTACTTTGTTGAGCTTCAACAAAGATCATCCCTGGCTTCTTGTAGAAGTATGTTTGCATGAAGAGATGAGCATGCATCTTTAGAAATACTTCCAAATTGCTGCCTGGTAGATCATCTGTATAGCTTCCTGAATCTTACATCTGCCTTAACAGCCTGAGCCTCAAGATGCTGGTATTGTCTAGACCATTTTCTGTTGCTGTGATGGGGGCACCTTAGATGAAGTAACTGATTAGAAAAGAGTCTTATTTG